TTTTATAACTTTTAATGGACTCAACAAGGCAACGTCCTATAGTTAACATTATTTTTTTCACTCATAAGATTTAAATTTAAATCATAATTTAAAGACAACATATTCTTCATCTCTTATTCCAACAACCATTGATCCAAGAAATTTGGTGATTAAAAGTTGATTTATTGAAAAGATTAATTTAAATAATAAAGTCCAAGGTACACAGAAAATAAAATAAGATAATAAAAGAAACAAGATCCTTTGTAAATCAATGGGAAAGGAATAGTTTGCGTATTTGATGATGAAAGTCTGTGATCAGAGTCAGATGTCAGTGAGGATAGTGAAGTGTTCAGCGTGCATTTAGGGCGCACATGACACTCATCCAATGGCCAGCCAGGACTGTACTAAATGTCACATAAAATATAAATAAAATAAATTTAATATATAGGGTAAACTACAAAAAAACTCACTTATTTCATTTTTCTTCTATTTTAATCATTCAACTTTCAGAAATTACATCTTGTCCATTTACATTATCGATTGATCACGAGATAATTAATAGGACCGTTACGGTAAATTCGTAACTCTCCTGTATAATATGTGATATGGTAAATTTCTTTTTCATGACGGTGATTTTATTTTATTTTTGGTTGCAAGGGGAAGTAAATAAAGAACTAATTCATAGAGAACCCTCTAAGAAATGAAGTGTTCCTTGCGGCTAGTAGCCGCTTCAAGTTGTAAGAGGACCTCCGAGGGAGGAGACTCAAAGATGGCCGATTCCTCTTCAAGGAAACAACCCATTTTCGAGATAACATCGACGCAAAAATTTCATTCTCGATGGGTATGTTGAATGGACATATTCTAATTACGACCTCTCATGTACTAAAATTTACATATAGTTTGAAAAAAATCGATAGTTTAAGTAATAAAATAGACAAAAAATAATAGTTTAAGTATAAAATGTATAGTTTACCCTTTTTTTAACTCGAACTAAAATTTTATTGTTATATAAATTAAAAGTTCACAAAATTGATGAAAAATATTAACAAAATAGTTCACTGTCCTTAAATGCGTACTTCGAAAGACAGAGACTAATTAAGTTTGGAATTGAGGAGGACTTAAGAAACATTTTTACCAAAAGTTATACATTGATCATCTTAGCATCTACAATTCCGTGTAATTTTTGTTTTTATTTTGATTAATTAACTAATATGAACTTAATATTACCTTAAAGGCAACATGCAATTGTCTATTTAGGTATTATTAATTTACATAAACTGTATATATTTTTTTTCATTCCCAATATTTAAATCTCAAATTTTATTTCATGATTTTTAAAGCGTAAATTATGCAGATAGTCCCTTATATTTTTTGTCTAACCGACTTTGGTCACCAATTTAAACATTAAGGGTAACGTTATCGATTTGTTTGATTATAGTACCTAACATTATCGATCTGTTCGATTTTAGTCCCTCAACCGTTAACTCCCGTTCAATTTTAGTCCCTCCCCCTTGTTAGGGACTTAAACAAAAGATGGTTAACGAAAATTAATGGCTGAGAGACTAAAATCAAACGGATCAAAAATATTAGGGACCATTTCCCCCTAATTTTTAAACTTGTGACCAAAGTCGATCAGATCCTATACATAGAGGACTATCTTCATAGTTTACCCTTTTTAAAATAAACATATTTCATTAACCATTATTGAAGGTTTGGAAATATAAAAGATGTGTTTATGATACGATCATGATAACACTCACTTATCTTTTTGTCTGAATTCATGTCCATCATCTAATCTCTTACTTTTATCTTTAGGAATTTAGTCCCTCTATTTGTTGTATTTGAACGTTCAAGTGTCCAAATATTTAACATCAGCAACCAAGTTTTGTTAATTTCAGGTCCACTACTAAACAATTTTTTGATATATGGTTACCAAACTACAAAATTAGTATTCTTTATTTTAAAATGTAAATGACCTGATTTTAACCAAATAATTTTAAGGGTAAACTACGCATTTAGTACCTAAACTATCAATTTTGATCCGTTTTAGTACCCAAACCTTCAATTCTTTTCAAAATCATACCTAATGTTTAGTTTTCGTTTCATTTTTGTACCCCACCTTTCTGAACATATTTACTACCTAAACTATCAGTTTTGGTCCGTTTTAGTACCTCAACTTTCAAATTTTTTTAAAACTTAACGAAGCAGGATATTATGATATGAGGACAATTTTGAATTTTTAAAATTTTAGGAGACGAACTTAAACTTATAAAATTTTAGTGGGCGAAAAATAGATTGTTAATAAAAATATATAGAAAAATTATAAAATATAATGTAATATTAAAATTTTAGGGGGTGAACTTGAACTTATAAAATTTCAGGAGCGAAAATAAATTTTTAATAGAAAATACATAAACAAATTCTAAAATATAAGATAATTTTAAAATTTTATGACGACGACTGTCCCCACCCGCTCCTCTCGGTCCATCTCTAACTTCACTAGTTATTGTATACGGTACAACTATATGCTAATTAGGTTGTGATTAGTTCATAAAATATAAGATTATCGGAATAGAATAGTTAATAGTTGTTTTATGGATCCGTCAAGAAATCTTAATGGTTAAAAAAAATACTATTATTTCTAGAGATCTTAGGTTTAAATATTTGTGTTTATAGGTACGTGTACATTACCAATAATTAAAAATAATTCTGAACAGACACTACCTTATAATTAACTTAAACTATTCAAAACAAAAATAATGATTTTATATTTAAAAATCACGTTCTCGTGTTTAGATGACAAAAAAGTTATCTTACGCCTATAGTATATTATTGTTATTTCTTGAAGTTTCGATTTATAAACTTTGAAACTTTGAATGCAAAAGCACCACGCTTAGCCTCTGTTTGTGCGAACAATCCTCGAGAACATCCAGCTTAAATAGTTTTAAAGCAACTTCTCGTTCCCAATAAAATAGTCAGTCTTCCTAGTGTAGGTGAATGTGAAGAGCACAGTTCATGATTTCTTTTGAACACTGATTGCCAAGTACTACGGTAGTAAGAGAGAGTTTATATCAAGGGAGCGTTTGTTTTGGGTACAAAATGTCACGGGTTCAAATCCTGTCATCCCTACCTATTACTTCTCCTTTGAGCAGTAACGAGGGAGTCGTTTTAGATTGATTAAAATTAAGCATACATAATCTATCATTTTCTCATATTATATATGATATATGATAGGAGTAGGTGTGCGCGATGTATTGGGGTTATAAAATAAAAGAATCTTCTTTTTTACAGTCTTATTTATTATGATATTTATTATGATAAGAAAGCGCTCTTAGTTCAATTCGGTAGAACGCGGGTCTCCAAAACCCAATGTCGTAGGTTCAAATCCTACAGAGCGCGATTCGGCTCTTATTAGGTCGAAAATTACACCGAATTGAAAAAAAAATTGAACATCAATTTGAATTTGATCTCCTTGGATTAAATTATTAAATTTAAATTATAAAATTTTTATAAAATTAAAGATATAAATTTATAGAATTAAAGAAAGGGGTCAGTCAAAAGTCAAAAAAAGAGATGTTAATTAATCAAAGGTCTAACTGATCACCACGTCTGTATTGTAAATATGCGGTTACGAATAATCCAGCCAAAGTAATAGGAATTAGGCCTAAGACGATTCCAAATAGAAAAACTTCAATCATTTCAATTTATTTGAAAGGAGAAAAAGAAAGGTAATATCATTACTAATGGAATAGAATAAATATTAATCCTTTCTCCGAAAGAATCATCGAAAAGGGGAGGTATCCCAATGCAATAAAGTTACATAGTGTCTATTTTTCGTTGATATAAGGGGTATTTCCATGGGTTTGCCTTGGTATCGTGTTCATACTGTCGTATTGAATGATCCCGGTCGCTTGCTTTCTGTTCATATAATGCATACGGCTCTGGTTGCTGGTTGGGCCGGTTCAATGGCTCTATGTGAATTAGCCATTTTTGACCCCTCCGATCCCGTTCTTGATCCAATGTGGAGACAAGGTATGTTCGTTATACCCTTCATGACTCGTTTAGGAATAACCAATTCATGGAGCGGTTGGAGTATTACAGGGGGGACTATAACTTCTAAAATTATAGGATCGAACGAATTTATAAAATTTTAGAAAGATAAAAGTAAACTTTTAATAATATATATATATACATATGATAGTTTCACATTTTCAAAAATGGTCTCTCTCGATTCTTGCCTCGGTCCTTTCCTAGATTGTAGTGTTGGGCGTGTTGCGAGGTGCAGGTGAAAACGTTCAGTTAGGTCATAATTTTAATATAAGTTTAATATTTAAACTATCAATTTTACTCTATTTTAATATTTAAACTTTTATTTTTTTTAAAAATCATCCTTAAAATTTAATTTTTGTTTCATTTTAATATCTCGTCATTAAAAATTTTATTTTAATACCCGTTCGAAATATAATATTGACCTACTGATTAATGAAAAGCATTTAGGTTAGAAATTTTAATACCGATAAAACTATCAATACTAATTTAGTCAAGAAAATAGAGTTATGTCTATTGCTTGAGCCGTGTTTCCTATTTTTAACTACCCAAAAAACAAATAGGATATAAATTTTAGTACCGATAAAACTATCAAATCTAATATAATCAAGAAAATAGAGTCGACACAATAGGTCGATTACCTGGTCCGATACAGCCAGTACCATTCCTGTACCGACTTTGAACTTGGGAACTCAATTTGATGGTAAAATTTTCTTCAGAACTTAAATTCACAAACATCAATCTGACACAGAATGGGTTTTTGAGTATAATCGATGGTTTGGCATGTAATAAATCGGACCTTTTAACCTTTCCATGTGCTGCACCACCAAAGGTGAACCTTAGGTTAGCTAACATGATATGCAATTTTTCCTATTTCTAGCAATCCATTCATTTACACAACTTGAACATAAAAGATGAAATTGCATACATTTACAGCATTTAGAATTGCAGAGAAGATTTTGAACCTTCCACAAAACCTTCAAAAAATGGAGTTATTGAGTTAGTGATCCTTTCTCCCAGCAAAAGATCGTTGGATGTCTCATGGTCCAGGCTGATTCCCTTGCTTGAACGCCCTTTGCTTCCTTAGGTTTTCATGTATTGAAGCCAAGAATTCATGCTTAAGACCATCCTCTGCTGTAATCCTTAACCTCGGGTTCACCGTTAAGCACTTGTCTACGAGATCATAAAGAGAGTCCGGTATCTCCGAATGGAAGACTCGTCTCTTCGTATTCATTTGACACCACTCTCTTAAGTTCATGGATGTTAAAGACTGCTTGCCATAAAGCTCCTGCAACAAAAAATTGGAATCTTGAATTAGACGTCACAATTTACTTTTGAATAGATTACAGTTGTAAATCATGCATTATACTTGTATTTATACCTCAGGAAAAGAGGATTCACGATTATGTAACTTGGCTACTTCCCAAAGATCTTCACTGCCTCTCAATTTTGCAATATCCTTAATATTCCTGAAAGTGTCAAAGATGATGGCAACATAAGCAATCAAACAGAAACTGGATCAAGCAGCTTCGGTTGAAGAGATCTTACTGTTCAGGATCACCGATGAAGGGTGATTTCCCGATCATTAGGTAGAGTAGTGTGACCCCAGCAGACCAGACATCAATCTTTGGACCTTGATGTTGAGATCTGAATAAGACCTGCACAAACCACTCAACTCCAGGCATTCAGTGAAAATACAATATCAATTATCAAGGAGAGAGCAGTATACTGTAATCTGAACTTGCAAAAAGTTTCAGTCGGTTCATTTACTACCATAAATCAATTTTCTTACGTTGGTCAAATGGTTAAAATTTGGCATAGGGTGTTAATATTTTTCTTTTCGAAATGCTTTTTTGCTTATAAAATGAATTCAACCCATCACATTGAAATGTATTGTTCATTACCTCTGGAGCTCGGAAGCCTTTTGTTCCAGCACAAGGACCTTCTCTCTTATGCTTTCCTTCCCCTGCAAAGGTTTGGAGCATTTCATACGGGAAATTACTCTTTCAAACCAAAATTTCAAATTTCACCTAAAAAAATACTTACTCTTGTTCTTGGATAACCCAACTCCAGATATCGCAAGGCTAGTTGAGTTCAAAGGCATTGGAGTAGGATGGAGAACCTGTCTATTCATTATTCCAGAAGAAGCAGCAACTCGTTTTCTCATGGGAGCAGGAACATGAGACACTCCAGGTTTTGGGGTCTGCATTGCTTCCTGTGCCAGGCTGATGAGTTCTTTCCTACCATGGCATGGCAAAGGTTCTCTGAGTCTTTCTGCTGAAGGAGTCCTTGCACTCGCATCCTTTGCTGAGGTAATGCCCGAACCTTCTGCACCCTGACTGTTTATTTTATTCCAACTGCTCAAGTCATTGTGAGGAGCCTTTCTTTGGACTGTTGTCTTCCTCATGTTCTTAGGCTCTAAAGTTAACCTGGAGCCTTTTGTTGCCTCAACATTGATTTCCTCCCTTGATTTGATCTTTAAAGATTTGCTGCTATCTGTCAGATGAATGGCTTTGGCAGGCACGTTATTACGATGATAACTTACATCATATCCCAACTTTGATTTGTCTGTGAAATGCATAAGAATGCCACATCAATCATAAATTGATAGTCAGGAGGTACTGAGGTAGGTAGATCAGGAAACTTTGAAGGCAAACTAATACACAATGGAAAGGAAGACCATTTGACTGGAATGGAACAAACAAGAAACAAAACATATGAAAATAGCAGATCAGTTATTTGGATGATAAGGAGAGAAGCAGCAAGTAGTTAACAGCCAGTTTATAACTCTCGTTTTCCCTTTCAATTCTTATGGATATAGAGGACAGACAAGAAAACAAAAATATATAGATGTTCCTCTTCATTGCCTGCAGTAAAAAGGTAGTAGGATTCTTAATTTCCAGCTCCAGAAAAAAGAACTAACCTGTACTACTGTACTTTTGCTGCATTTCCTGTAAAAACAAGAGAGGAGAAAAAAACTGATTATCATTAAACTAGAGAACAAAAAGACTGGCGGGAAAGATACATAACGGCCAATCACATAATCATGTAAGGTTGGCACATAGCTACGTACCATTGCAAGATTGAAATCAATAAGATAACCTTTGTTGGTCTTACGAGAGAAAAGAAAGTTTCCTGGTTTAACATCTCTATGAATTACTCCCTGCATATTCATAGAGTCATTAAAATCATGTAATTTTGTAGATAGATGCATCACATTTAGAAAATCATATACCTGTTTATGAAGATTTGCAAGAGCCTTGAACAAGCAAAAAGCATACCACTTTAACTGAAAAACATCAATCTCTTTTTTCAGCACCTGCTCAATGAAACAAGCTCGCCATCAAGAAGAACAAACAAATTACGGCTTCCAAAATTCTAATAATTACCTCAGGTCTATCATGCTCAACATACTGCAGAACAAAGCAATCAGAATTCTCACTCCTAATGCATCCTTCATATCGTATTATAAAGTTTCTGCCCCTGATATTGACAATATAATACAGAAGATTGAGGGAGGAGGGGAACAAAGCTTTATGAAAACTGCTTCACTTTTATAAACAAGAAAGTTTTCTTTAAAGTGAAACAAACATTTTCTAGAATGTTTACCCAAAACGCTCCAGCATGTTCATCTCATTGTTAACATAGTTCTTATGAGCATTGGCATGAGGACCTGCAATGAGATAAATAAGTAATATAACATCAGGGGAATGGACTATAAACGTAATACAATAAGAGACCTCGTTGCAGCACAGCAATGCAACCGCATGTTATATGAATTTGCCTTACATTTAAGGGCAACTAAAGCCCCGTCATTCTTCCTTCGAGCCCTATACACAGTGCCATAACCACCTGCCAATTCAAGTTTCACCTTATCCAATTAATAGAACATCTTAGTTATAAGCAGAACACCTGTGAAGTGATACGCAAGCAAGTAAAAATTGAAGTTATGATACCTGACCCTTCTTCCTCTTCTACAATATAAGATTCAAACTCAGGTAATACTTTTGGCTTCGCCTGGTCCTAAAGGAAGCATAGATGAATATTTAGGTTATCATTGAAAACAATGCACAACAGCCAACTTACGCTTATTGAATAGAGACCACTTGCAAAAATGAAAATAATATAACACCATACATGAGACAGAAAGCTACAACTGGAGAAGTGAGCTTACTTGAAAAGAAATGAATGTAGAGTTTCCCTTTCTCTCTTTAACGGATATATCCTTAGGGTTCTGAATTGATTTCTGCACAGTACGGACTGATACAATATCTTTTACACCATGCCTCCTCCTTTTGTAAGTACAGACAACTTTGGTATCCCCTAAAGACTTGTTGGGAGTCTGCAATACTGGAGGTACCACATGCCTCTGATTAGTCTTTGCTTTTGCAGAAGGATCTGGCTCTTCAGTATCAGAATGCATAACGGAAAGATTAATGTTAAAGGGAGCAGAAAGATCTTCAACTACTTGTCTTCTACTTGTCAAGTCAAGTTTATCCTCTTTCTTACCATCCTCCATAACCATTTCATTGTCTGCAATTCTAAAACTTGTGGCGGTAAAATCCGCATAAAATTTTCCACCCAATTCCACTGACATATTGTTCTTCTCAGAAAACTCTGGAGAGTCTGTACCATTGTGTTTAACAGCCGTGGTTTCTATGTCACGAACTGGTTCTCTATTCAGAAACATCGGTTCTACAATTGGCTCACTGGCAACTAATTCTTTACCGACATTTCCTAGCATATAGTCTTGCCCGTGCACCTTGCTTTCTACTTTTTCAATGCCCTCCACTTTACAGCTTAATTGTCTAGCACTAGATTCAGCTACCAAACAGGAGTTCAGCTCAGTGTTCTTTACCAAGACCATAGGACTACTCATTCTACCGATATCATCAGTTAAATAATAGCACACCTGAAATTTTTATTTCATCAATTAGTATTTGTAGACTATAACTCCAAAAAGAACAATTATTACTAAAAGCAGAATTGCTTGATGGAATTTCCAATTCGCAGATCTAGAATTACCATCAATAAAGTAAAAATACATGCAGTTCGATTTAAAAGTTACTACAAAATCGTAATTTCATGGAGTTGATCTGCAGATCTATTGTGCAAAATAAACTCAAAAAATACCTTCGTACAATAATTCCGGATTCTCTTAACCGAGGGAATCAACTTCTTTTCCTCGTCATCCTCAGAAAAATTCGCAGCTGAAAAATAGCTTAAAGGTCAATCAAAGAAACATAAACGCCGAATTACACAACACAAAAAAGATGAAAACAAATTATGACTCCTTTTTAAAAATTTACCATATCGATTCCTCTTGCGAAGCCATATATTCGGGGAACTACCGAACCGATTCGGCAGCGAAGTGAAAGCATCGGCAACAGTGTAGTTTCGAGCTAAGTAAGCGGCGAAATACGAAAGGCCAATCGAAGAGATAGCAACGAGATGTTTGTCGTTCGAGAGTGTAATCGGAGAGTTTGAGATGGAACAAAGCGAGGATATAATAGCGGGGCTTGTCGAAAAGAGAGTGCACCGGGAAGCGAGGTCCGGGAGAGGGGTGGGCTTACCGATCGAGACTATCAGAGAAAAAATATACCAGGCCTTTTGAGACTCGGTGGCTGAGAGGCTTAATGGCTCGGTGAGTTGGTCCGAGTTACTTTTCATGACGATTATGGATGTAGATAGAGAATCGGGGGAGCAAGACGGGGAGAGAATTTTTAGGGTTTGCAAATGGAAGTAATTTACTGGGAATTTTTGGGACGAAGCTGAGATGGGCGGGAATCGGGACGTGATGGGGATTTTAAAGATTTAACGCGTGCGAGTTTTCCCGCCAGTGTTCTTGTCTGATAACTTGAACTTGTGCGAGGGGTAGGGAGGACAATGCGTCGGGTTATGATCGAGATTTTTTGTCAATTCGATTCTAAATATTTGATTTGATTTTAAAATTTTATATCTTATATTCGATTCGATTTCAAAAATATATCTTCCACCCGATTTTGATCCGACCAATTTTGTAGAGTATTAATTCGACCCAATTCTCATCTGACCCTATATAAATTAAAATTTTAATTAAATAATAATAAAACTTTTAAGAAAATTACATTATTATCTTTGGGTCAAGTCATGTTAGAGTTTTTTTACCTTTCACCCAGATCCGACTCGTTCAGGTCGGAACTCATTGGATGTAGATGAAATTATCATCCCTAGCGAGGGGAATTTAGTAAAGTAATCCTCTTTTTCTTACTTAAAAAATATTTAATATAAAAATAAGTGTTTAAATTATTCTTAAAATTAATTTTTAGTAAAGCATTTTTTATTAAAAATATGTCTAACATTTTTTCTGTCACACTTTTATGTATCTCTTGTTAAAAAAATTTAATAACAGTGTCATGCTTATATTTTTTATTTTTAAAATAAAATATTATTTAAAAAAAATCTAAATGTGACACGTATCACCTAACAATTGTTTTTAAGAGTAGGCATCTAAAAACATAATGAATAAATTTATTATCTATGTTTAAAGTTTTAACAACTAATATTTAAAAAAAATTATCATCATGCACGAACTAAGTGGTCTCCATGGTACAGGAATGGTTATCGTTTCTTAAGACTCAGGTTCGAGCACCGAGAACAACAGGAGTGTGAGTATTTAATCTTAAGAGATTGAGAGTTATCTTAAAACATATAATGCATTATACTTATCTCATATTAATAAAAAAAGTACCGTAATAATTTTATTTATTAATCGATTAAATCAAATCGATAAATACAAATACTCATTATTTGACGATTCTAATAATCTGATTTATTCTATTAATCACGTTAAAGTTTAGACCTTCAAATTTATTCAGACAAGGAATATTTTAAATTAAAACGAGATAATAATTGTACTGTCTTCAATAAGAGCTTAAAACGTACTAATTTAAAATCATACCTAATGTTTAGCTTTTATTTTATTTTAATACCCCGATTTTAAAAACTTAACGCGTTTAATATATAAACTATCAGTTTTGGTCCGTTTCAGTACTTAAACTTTCAATTTCTTTCAAAACTTAACGTTAAATTTTGAACACAGATACTAAAATGAAACAAAAACTAAACTTTAAGTATGATTTGAAAACAAATGAAAATTTAAGTACTAAAATAGATAAAAACTGATAATTTAGGTATTAAATACATAATTTACCCATAATGTTTCATTCACCATATATAAACATCTTCATATAAATACATAACATAATATGTTTATAAACGACAAAATCAACGAGATAATGCGTTGAATTTTTTTTTTTCACGAGATAGTGCCCTCGCCAGATTAATTGCTCAGATAGGGTGATCTCTACAGTCCCACGTCTCTGGGGGTAGGTCGCCATGCACGCCCAGCGACCTACCAGGTCGCCATGCACGCCCCAACACGCTGGGCATCCGAGACCATCCGACCGAGGCCATCCAACCAAGCCATCCGAACGAGCTATGCGAGGGCATCCGAGGGCAACCGAGCGAGCTATGCAAGGGAATCCGAGCAACCAAGCGAGGGTAGGTCGCCATGCACTCCGGGCGACCTACCCTCGCTCGGTTGCCCTCGGATGCCCTCGCATAGCTCGTTCGGATGGCCTCGGATGCTTTCGGATGGCCTCGGTCGAATGGCCTCGGATGCCCAGCGTGTTGGGACGTGCATGGCGACCTTTGGGGGCTGCATGGATTGCATGGCGACCTACCTAGGTCGCTGGGCGTGCATGGCGACCTATATGGGACTGTAGAGATCACCCCATCTGAGCAATTAATCTGACGAGGGCACTATCTCGTGAAAAAAAAAAATTCAACGCATTATCTCGTTGATTTTGCCTATATAAACACAGTGAATATTATACAAATACATAAATTATAATCATTTTTCGCAGAACCTCTCATTAGGAACGGTGACGATGATATTCACCATGCATGCATCCTGATCCTCCTCCCGTGAAGGAATTACGACAATATGACCCGAAATCGATCGAAACCAATAGGAAACACGAACAGGCTTATTCTCTCGTCGGAAACTAACATCGTTTGCCCCTAAACCATCCCAGTTTTCGCAAGAGACTTCCACGTTAGCCCTCGACATCCCATGTTTTGAGCGGCTTTCTGCTTTGATGCTCTCGAACGATTCATTCACAAACAAAAGAAACTCGACAGGCATTTCGGTTCCAATCTCGTTCTTGTCGGCTTCCTCGACACAGGCCAACGCAACTCGTCTGCACCATTCGATCTCCAGATTATGGGTTTCGGAATTGACCTTGAAGATCGTGGTTTTGCCCGGCTTGTTGTTTGAAGTACTTGAGCTGATTACGGTGGATCCGGTGGTGCTTTTGAGTCCCGGTAGGTAGAATAATGGTGGTTTTCGTTCATTGTTCTCGTTGACAACTTTGTTGTGAATGTTTGCCCATGTCTCGAGGAACTTTGTCCTTAACAAAAGATCTACCAGAAGAATGCTGCAGCTAATTCCAATGGAGTATCCTCCACATTCGAAATTCGTCACCTGTTAAACATTGTTATATACGAAAACTGATTCGAACTCGAGAACCGGTGAAGTCGGTGTAATATATTAAAAGACATAAAGATCATTGTAATTAAAAAAAACAAGTGGTTATCGTATTTTTTTTCTTTTATATGGTTTTCTAATTCAAAAAATAAGTCTAATGTGGCATTTTGACAAACGTTTTTCATTATTGATCGTTACAGTGTTGATGTGATAATTTACAATATTGACGTGATGGTCTACAGTGATTGATAACGTGACAAATGGACTAAATTAGTAACTCAAGCATGACAGATCAATTGTCACGTCAATATCATAGACCACCATGTCAATATTGTGTATTGCCACTTCAGCACCACCGTAAATTACCACGTCAGTATCGTAATGATTAAATGATGAAAAACGTTAGTTAAAAGGCCAAATTAGATTTATTCTGAGCTAAAGAGTTACATTAAAAAAATACGAATGTTACATTGATTTTTTTCAAATGTATAGGTGCCTCCTACCTATATTAAATTACCTGAACATAAAATAGTAGAGAGAATTGTGGGTTTTGCTCATCAATGTCTTCCCAAAACACAAGCTGAACTTCGGCCTCTTCCCTTGGCTTCAAATCAAGAAACTCCAATAGATTCATCTGAACCGTCGCCTCGATGAGCCTAACGCCGGAATCATTGGACACGATCTCCAATCCTCCCTCGTTTCGCTCCGTTTTTTGAAGACGACCACAAATCATCGGTTGTTCCGACAAAGCTCTCCCGAGCGTTTCTTTAAACCACCCGGCAACTAGCCAGCCTGAATCTTCTTTCTTTTCCTTCATGTAGTATTGGACCACGTTGAAGCACCTCCGGAAAATCCCTAAACCGACATGATCCCACGTTAACACCCGTCGTGTCTGTCGTGGATCGGTCATCCTCGTCGGAGTAACCGTCGCGATGCCTTCAACGGACACTTTAGGGACAACAACAGTGCTGTCACTGTATCTTGCTCCTGTCATCTCGGGAAAAGCTTGTGAACGAAACCGGTGAGCTTTCTCGATAAATTTGATAGCATTTATATAAGATAATTTTGAATTATCAGAAATTTTGATCGGGGCTGATATGACGGTGCACCTAACGTACCATAATAATTCATAAAAGGAAATAAGCATGTCTGATTCAGTACGAGATTTAGTAATCTAATTGAAAACATCATCAATTAAACCTCGTTTTGAACACACGTAATCGAAATAGCCACCTTCCAACCGGCACATGACAAGTGTCTTTTCCCATTTGTTTGGTCTTCTTTTTCCTCTTTAAAAAAGAAAATTAAAACCCAAATTAATGAAAAGAAAATATTGATGATGAATTCAGACCAGACCAGTTGAAGCAATTAGGCAAATATCAGTTGATTCAGTTCACAGCGGGTCACCCATACAGCGAAATGGACAGGCTTTTCAATTAATGATCGGTTGCTTGTTTTCGTTTATTGAAGCTTTGGAGGCACTTAAGAATGAACCAGGGAACATTTACATCACAAAATTTAAAGCATATTTGTTTCTAGGGTAAATTACGTATTTAATATATGCTTTAATATTTAAATTTTTTATTTTTCAAAATAATACACAAAGTTTAGTTTGCGTTTCATTTTAGTACCCGTTTAAAATTTAACGTTAAATTTTGGGGGGAAATTGAAAGTTTAGGTACTAAAATGAACCAAAACTTATAGTTTGGGCTCTAAAAGCATTAAGTATTTAATGACAAGTACTAAATTGAGACAAAAACTAAATGTTAAATATGGTCTTGAAAAAATAAAAAATTTAGGTACTAAAATGGGTCGAAACTGATAATTTTTTGTACTAAACGCGTAATTTACTCTTATTTTTATAACATTAAAAAATAGAATATCAAAAAATAGAGTATAAAAAAAAAATTACTCACTGCATTTCTTTTATTCTTCCACAGGAGCTAAGATGTTCGAATCATTCCAATTTACTACCTCCACATCTCATAACATCATAATGAATTGAACTATAATAAAAAAAGGTAAAGTATATCATTCATCACTCAATTATCTTATCTCTCATATTTTGGTCACTAATATTTAAAACTTTTTAATTGAATCATAGAACTTTTGAATTATTCCTATTTTGGTCAATCTATAGTTTAAATTATAAGCTGTACGATGATGTGAATTGTTTTAATATTTTTTTATTATTACGTGACATTTTTGTCAATATTTAATGCCATAAAATATCTAAAATAAAAAATAAAATTATATATTCAAACCCTAATTTTAATTCCAAAACTTAACCCTAAATCTCAATAAATCATTGTCAAACCCTAAATCATAATTTCAATTAATCAATGAAAATGCTAAACTACAAACCCCAATCTCAATCAACCACCACTAAACCCAATCCCAACTAACCACCACCAAACTGTAATCTCAAAATATTCAAGTTTTCGTTTTAAACAGCTCTTTAAAAGCAAGAAACATTTCGAGTAACACGATAAAGGAGGCAAGCATCTCTCACTCTCCAGGGCCATATATCACACCATTAATGAGTGAAAAACAAAAGTTATATACTAAAAGTACAATACTTAATATCTTGGAAACTTAACAGAATGGAGACACTAGAGCAGCTGGGGATGAAAGGATTAAATTGAAAGGTTTTAAACTTCAATGACAAATTAGAAGATAAAAGATAATTGAATGATGAATGATATATTTGATCATAGTAAAAATAACACTCATTGTATAATGATAACATAGACTTGTCATTAGTCATCCTACAATAAATTAGCTGACCCTTATTCCCATATGTAATGGGATAAGGGGGAGGTAGGATAGTAGGGTGCCCCCAACACCATATTGAGAGCAACTTTCGTGGGAGACCTCCAAATTATGAAATACCCTCCGTGAGATTAGTCATCCTACAATAAGATATTTATATCCCGAGCAAAATCAAAAAAATGATCTTATTTTCTTTCTCTGGTATCGTTCCACCTTCTAAGTAAAATCATCTTTCTCGTTTTTTAATATAAAGTGTCGACCAACAATTATTCTTTCATCGGCAACAACTTTCCACCCAAGTCAAAAGGGATTAACAGTTCACGATCGACAAATCAAATTTATTCCCATCAATAATATATAGTTCAAGGATCTATGATATATTTTACCTTTTTCTTCCTTTCTAAGTCAACATTAGTTGTACATTAAACCCCACGGCTACAAAGTTAATATCGGAGGCGAGGGTAGGCCGTGCTATGAGACAATACATGACGCTATGGCAACTAATGTTTGAGGAGGCTCTCATCGTTAATCCTAAATCATTAAAAATCATCAAATAATTTACCCTAATATGGGTAAATTACGTATTTAATACTTAAACTATCAGTTTTGATTCATTTTAGTACCTAAAGTTTTATTTTTTTTCAAAATTATACTTAACATTTAGTTTTTGTTAAATTTTAGTATTCACATCGTTAAAAATTTAACATGTTTAGTACCTAAATTATTGATTTTTATTATTTTTAGTACCTAAACTTTCAAAAAATTCAAAACTTAACGTTGATTTTTCAATTGGATGTTAAAATTAAATGTTATGTATGCTTTTAAAAAAATTAAAAGTTTTGGTACTAACAAACCTAAACTGACAGTTTAAGTATTAAATACATAATTTACCCTAAGTTTTAAATAAAAAAACTTTATACTACCAACCGATGGTTCCATGGGGTAGTGGCTAGCACTCTGGACTTTCAATCCAGCGAAAATGCTTATTGAACGCGAACAAAGGAAAGGTTAAAAAAATCAAAACCGAAATCGATCACCACCTGTTTGCTGTTTCAGTCGTTGCAACGGTGTCTGACTAGCTGCGGCAGACCTCTGGCAACCAGCCGAGTAGGCATAGATGTCGCTGACCTCCGGCAACCCGTCGGACCTTATAGTAGATGTCTATATTTTCACATATTTGTCTTCTATCTCGTTAATTCCAAAGGCCTGAATTGATGTAACGGACAAAATGCTTATTGAACGCGAACAAAGAAAATGTTAAAAAAAATCAAAACCGAAATCGATCCCCGCCTGTTTGCTGTTTCGGTCGTTGCAACGGTGTCTGGCTAGTTGCGGCAGACCTATGGCAATCAGCCGGGTAGGCATAGATGTCGCTGGCCTCCGGATAAGTATGGACGGAAGTAAAATTTTATATTAAGAGTGAACTTACACTTAGAGAATCAAATTTGAATTTATAAAATTTCATGAGAATAAAAAATATATTTTCAATAGAAAATACATCAACAACAATTCCTTTAATGATGCAGGGGGATCCGAGACAGATGATACTGAGCTGTCAGATTGCACGTTGATGGCGCTGAGATACTATGAGTTGGCAGATCAGCGCAAAGGCGGGAATTGATTGTGACATGTTCCTCATTGAGGTCGTTTTGAGTATGTTTCAGTCTTTTGGCCATAACTTTGGCTACAGGTGTCAGAATCGCGCATAAGACCCCAATCCGGAAAGCTCTTTTCGACGTGCACGCTCTCCACATGAGCTACGCTCCATGTGGCCTTTTTTTCAACCTCAATTTCTGCCGTTTTCCCCTCCGAATCACTAGATTTAGTTAATTTTACTATTTATGGTAATATTTCGATTGTTAATTAGGAAGTCAATTTAAATCCGATTTAGGCCGGATTTTTGGGAGATTGCTTATTTTATTTCGAATTTCAATTTAGAGTGATTTTCGGGATTTTGCTATTTTTGGCAAAATTCGAATAAAGACGATTTTTTTGCTATAACAGTCCGGCTTGTGGACTGCTTTTTGGAGAGTTTTGATTTTATAATATTTTATTAAACCCTAGAGACTTTTTCTATGGTTTTTGGGCGAATTTTCTCTTGTGAATCGTCTGTCGGAGCTAGCCTACAGGATAATCACTATTCTGTCTGGCGTCAGTTGGTGTCAGAGCTTCAACATATTCTTGGGAAATTTCACCAGTTTCAATGGCTGGAGGTCGTGGTCGTGGTCGTCGTGAGCAGGTTCCGAATGAGGAAGCCCAACGCCGTGATCGCAGCGTTCAGGATGTGATGATTGCGGATTTGCAGAGGCAAGTCGCAGAATTAACCCAGCGCCTGGCGGCGCAGGATTTAGAGGATCGTGAGGCCTCTGATCACGATACCAATTCCACTTTCGAAAACCCATATCACAATCGCGCAGGATTCCGGGGCGCAGGATTCTGGGAGCACCGTGGTCGGGAGGAGCGTCATGGAGACCTCGGTTTTCGGGTCGATCTCCCTGAGTTTTCTGGTACATTACAGGCCGAGGGATTCGTGGATTGGATTAATGAAGTGGAGCGTATTTTTGAATATAAGGAAGTCCCCGATCGTGTGAAAGTGAAACTGATCGCCATCAAACTCAAGGGCAGAGCATCTGCGTGGTGGGAACAGTTACGACGTTCACGAGAAAGACAGGGCAAAGCCAAGATCACTGATTGGGAGAAGATGAAAAAGAAGATGAAGGGCCACTTCCTTCCCTTCGGCTACACGCAAACCTTATTTCAGCGACTTCATGCGTTGAGGCAGGGTGTGCGATCAGTCGATGATTACACGGAGGAGTTTTACCAATTGGTCGCCCGGAACGATTTATCTGAGACGGAGGAGCAGATGGTGGCGCGATATTTGGGGGGTTTACGCCAGCCCTTGCAAGATGTCCTCAGCCTTCATTCATTGTGGAGTGTTTCGGAAGCATACCAGCGTGCACTTGCTGTTGAAAAACAGCAAAACAGGAGACCAGTGATCAAGAGCGATCACAATAGTCGACCAGTTCGCCCTCAAGAGTCCCGTCCTGCTCAGCAGCCACCGCAGGGTAATTCTAACCCTACTATTAGATGTTTTCGTTGTGGTGAACAAGGGCATAGGGCGACTGATTGCAGGAAGCCTGCTAGTCAAAAGGGCAAAAATTTGTTGATTGAGGAAAACGTGGAAGACGACACTGAGGAGATTGGCGAACCCGTGTATGACGATGATGAGACTGATGA